GTGTTACTTGGGAGCGAGGCGGGCTCTATTTCCCTAGTCCTTGCAATAGTAGCTAGAGTGGACATTCCACCATCATTTGACATCGACTTGCGGGACATGGTAGAGGGTGAGGTCATACTTAGAGACCCGCTGGAGTAGGAACCACCACCCTTGAGAGGGGGGAGAGATAGTTGGTCGTCACTGGTTGAAGCCGTCTGCGTTATGTAGTTAATCCCAAGAAGGGTCTTGCCAGGAGGTATATCAGAGCAGGGCTTTGGGGTGGTATCTCGAGAAACAACGGATGTTCTTCTCATCTTAAATCGGTCAAGAGATGGGCCCTCTGAAACTGCCTCGATGGTAGAGTCCCGTCGTCCATGAAGGAGAGATAAATCGGCTAATTCAGGGGTTGAGAGTGCAGGAAGTGTGATGGCAGAAGCAGTAGCTCGGCGGGGCGGGGCGGATATGGGAGATGGCTGAACTGTCGAGCATGATGAGAGGGGCCGTTTGGGATGTCTGACGGCGGGTGGCGATGTGAACGCAGGTGATGCAGGAAGGGCTGGCGTATTTCGCTGTGCAGGCATTGCCCTGATCAGCTGCAACTTTCTCGGAGCCTCTATGGAAGAAAGACAATTCCTTACCTTTTTTTGGTCAAACACATTGTCTGTAAACCCCATATTTTTCCCCCGCGGATCTCCAGGCCGAACTCTGCGTTTTGACGCGGGCTTTTCAGCTTTGACGTAAGGGGAAACGAAATGGCAGCACTAGGGGAAAGGGTGTGTTAGTTTATGCTTTGTATAATTTTGATACCAACCAGACCATAGTTAGGCAGTTCTCTGACGAAACCTGTCCAGCCTGATGCCCCAATAACGAAGCAGGAATGGAGGAGACACAAAACGGGGAAAAGAAAAAGAAAAGGCAAAATAAAAATAAAAAGAAAGCAATGGGTGTCTTTCTTACTCGACAGTTACAGCTCTCCAAGCATTTTGGACATATCCATAGTCCGGGGTGGCGCATAACATCTGCGGATGCCATATCAAAGTGACGGTACAGTCCCCGGTAGCAAAAGAAGGCTGAACACTTATCGCAGCGTCTGCCTTTCCATTCAAGATGATCACTCCGACAAAGGTGGCACAGTTTCACTGCCATGCTCTGTCTAGCAAGCATCAATTCGTTTACCGCCGTACCTAAGGTTTTGCGTTGATCCGGAATACGGGATCCTTCAGAGGATTGGCTTATGTTGTATCCAAGTATAGATTCTGCTCTTTGTACAACACGCGAGCATATATCTTGCGGAACAATCTCAGCCCATGAATAGCTTGAAGGGTGCTCACAGCTGCGACCGCTCAGATAACACATGAGACAGAGGTCAAAGTCCTGACATTGGTTGCAGCGTAGATGTCGGTTCCAGATAGCGGTACCACAAAAATTGCAGGTTGCTATGGCTGTCTCTGGTATAGGGACGAGTGTGACTGCTGTCGCAGGACCGCCGTCGATTGTCTCATCCTTTGCCATTTGATTGAAGAGTCTTGTTAGAAGGGGTAGATCTGGAGGAATAATTGCATGTTGATCATCACGAAGCAGACTCAGCATGGCGCAGGCCAGTGAGAGATTCGATCGAGCGACATCTGGATGGCACAGACGGTTGAAAGGAGGCTGGACATAGTGTAGGCCGGCATCCAGGGATAGAGGATGTAAGATGTTCCACACCACTTTCGTTGAAACTTTTCCAAGATTCCAAACCTGGTGTGCTGTTGCAGGAGGAAAGACAGCAAGGTCTCCGGGCCATTGTTCGCAGATGTAGACAGGAAAATTTGCTTTCTTAAGATCCTCTGGTCCCAGATTCAGCCAGTCGACGTGGGGTGACGCACCACGAGCCGCCATGAAGTTGTCGTATTTTTGTTGCGAGCTGAAATCAGTCCCAAAGCAGAGAACCGGCCGATCTAGGCCCGTAATATCAATAAGTGTTAGCTCAAGGCTGCTGGTGTTACCGAGAAATTGCTCAATAGAACTATGGGAAGGAAATCTTTACCACCATGGTCAACCAGCAAATTCAAAGCGACTGTCGAGGAAAAGCATCGGTGGAAGCCAGATCTGTGATCGAAATCAGTAAGGGGAACAACAGGGAGAAAAAAATAGTATATCAAGGCTTAGAGGTAGAATACTAACGAGGAGCCTTCGGAGCCAACGTAGGCCATCATCACCTCACTGCGGGCGCATGACGGCAGCCATTGGAACAGGTCCAGCCTGCCACCCCATTGAACCTCAGGAGGGAGTAATCTCCTACATTGCTCCAACCAGGAATCTGGACAACGCAGGTCTCGAGCGTAGAGGTTTTTAAACTCCCGGTAAGACTGTCGAGATGCATCGGCGAATTTCTTGAGGGTAAAGCTGAGATCTCTGTTCGTGCTGCAGTTCCGAATAGGAATATCTGGCGATGAGTCGAGCTGGTTAGCAGAGATACTCTAATAAAACAGCGTCGCAGAACAATGGTAGGGGAGATTACTTTTCTTTGTAGAATGTTCAATTAAGCCTTCAAGGGAGAACAGCCTCTTATTCCATTCAGGTAGTTTATTAAAATCTTGTATCACGAACGGCTTGCCGTCTTGCAATCTTGCTGAAAGCCAGCCAGAAAAATAGTCTGTAGTATCTTTCCCTAGCTGCCCAGTATTCTTCCCTGGCGCATCCGGTTGAGATGGTGCGCCCTTTTCGTCCGGCTGTTCATATGCGAAGGCGGCCTCCTTCTTTATATCGAGTATGGAATATCGGGGGAATTCAATGAAAGGTTCCCCGTGGGCAAGTAGCTCAGCAGCATTGACTGAGGTCGGGATAAAAGTATCAGAGGTAGACATTCGGGCCAGCGAGCCATTGATATTGTTGGTGCTATTCGTTGGCGGAACTGTCATGGTCTAACGGCGCGAGAAGCCGCATTTGCGGAAGAAAAGAATGAAAAAACTTAGGAGGTGAAGGGGGGAAGAGTCCGAATGATCAACGTTCCATTAAAGGCTGCAGCTAGCCCGGCTTTTGAGCAGTGGATTTGGCAATACCGACGAGCTAAAGAGTCAAATGCCGGGTATATCTCGAGATCGGAATAACTGGGCACAACAGGAACAAAAAGAAGACAAAAGGAAAATGGGACTGCGATCTCGAACCTTGTCAGATTAATTCAAATGCTATATACTGAG